GGCTTCCTAGAGTACCAATCCATTGAAATATACACCAACTACTGCAGTATTAGCATTTTTAATGTATATAACCCATGCAAAAATATCTCGATAGAAGAACTTAAGCATTACACTGACCAACTTGGAAATAGTTTTATTCTCATTGGTGATCTGAACAGACACTCACCTCTGTGGGACCCCCAAAACAGGCACAACCACACTAGCCAGAGCATAGAGAAGCCAATAGAAATGCGCAATCTTATACTGCTTAATGACTCGGACACCCCAACCTACATAGATAACCATACCAGTTCAGCTTCATGTCTTGACCTATGCATGGCAACTCATAACTTGGGTATCCTCGAAGAGCTGCAGCGGGGTGGTGACATGGGCAGTGATCACCAAGGTCCAATGCGGAGCATTGGACCTTGAAAAAACTGGGCCTTAAAATGAACCAACTGGAACCAATTGACTACCCTATTCCAGCAAAACAATGAACCATTGACTGACATGTACTTCCTATTTGAAGTTGTAACCCACAATCATTGTATCACCGAAAAAATCACTGAAATAGCAAAAGAATGCATCCCAAAAACATCTGGCATCACACAATAAAAACGAAAAACTCCATGGTGGGATCAAGAGTGCAAAGATGCTGTAGAAAACAGAAAAAAGGCAAAAAACAAACTCTGGAGCCATCCAACCCCCTCAAATCTGATTAACTACAAAAGATGTGTTGCAGTACCGCAAAACACCTAGCGCTGAAAAAGAAAAAGGAAAACTGGATCAAGTTTACTTGATTATAAAATAGATTTATGGTTCAAAAGAAGATGTCTACTTCCTTTTATTCCTATTTGCATATAATCGTTGTTCGATATTAGCTCACGCTATTTCTTGAACTGTCCGCTTTAAAACTCACGGCAAACTATCAATTTTTAGTTTATCCTTGGCAGAGTTTCTTTTTCATAAAACATTTTTAACTGTCAGGTTGGTTGTACTGGATTTTACGTTATCCGAGTGGTCAAACGAGGCGCTTAGAAAGTTCTCTACTACTGGCAGTGCGGTTTAACAAGGGAAAAGATACAAATAAGCATGTCAACTCTTATATACTTAAAGACAGCAAATTCCATCCTAATACAGGGCTGGGCACGGCAAAAATTGGCAACAAATTTCTAGGCTTAGTCTACCCGTATTTGCAATTCCCAACGAAGGCTACAATGCACGCTAATAATTTAACCTTCACAATAATACCAATGAAGAGGGCTAAAATGGGGATAGTATTTCACCGATTCAAAAAAAAGGGGTACATCACCGGCTGAAATGCAGTTGAGCATTGGCTGACTTCTGACTTCTTCGGGACTCGTTCGGTCATACTCCGGCAATACTAGGATTTGGGTGTTGGTTTCTTCAACGTTGCGGTCTAACGCGGATGGTTGCTTCTGGAACACTCGTAGAACTTTGCTTCGATGGAACTCACTCTGAGCGCGTATAACCAGGCTCGCGTTGTAGTTGTTGCAGATGATACTCGTTGTCCGTCTTGAATCGTCGTGTTTAACTTGCAGCACTATCTCTTGCACCCGCGGCTGTTTCCACAAATGCATCTGGCTCTCGGCCAAGGCGTAGCTCTATACGCCACTCACTGTTTGGTCCGACTGCCTCTAACACCGCAACGTAACTGCCCGCGGTGGCCCGCTCACCCCTACTAAATACTCCTCCGGTCTTGCGCATGCGCGCTAGACGGCTCGAGCTCCACCCCTTAATTCAAACTTCGCTTCTAAACCCCAATCCCTATTCTTATCTTATTTATTCCTATTCCTAATCATCGTCGGTTTTTAATAACTCATTGAACGGTTATAGTTATATTCTCCTATACTAATCATACTGAGTCACTTAGCAGCACCACAACCAATTCTATGGTCTCATCCAGAGACCAGGAAAAAGACCAGGAGGTGATAGACAGAGTTGAGAGTTTTGTGGCACAAGATATTAAGCCACAATGCCCGGAAATAAGTTTTCATGAGCTCCAAAAGTGCATGCAGATGCCAAAAAAACACATTGCCTGGAAGTGATCTCATTGCTAATGTCTTCCTTACCAAGAGCCTGGATCACATGAAGATGGAGCTCCTCAACCTATATAATACCAGCTTCTTCAGTGAAACAGTCCCAATGGCTTGGAAGCAAGGGCTCATATGCCCAATACTGAAGCCTGGAAAGGATCCAACAGAGGTCAAGTCCTATAGGCCCATAACCTTGCTGTCCTGTATTGGCAAACTAATGGAAAGAATTATTCAAAAAAGAATTGAATATCACATCAAGGTCAACCATGCATTACCTCCCACTCAGACTGGATATCGTCATGGCAGGAGCACCATTGACCTTTTGGCCACACTGATTAACTATTAGACAAGCAGCTATGGATGGCAGTTACACTTTGGCGGTCTATCTGGACATTCAGGAGGCTTTTGACTGTGTATGGCACCATGGACTTCTGTGCAAGATGATTAATATGCAGCTGGACTCCCAACTGATCAAGTGGACATATCATTATCTAAAAGACAGGACCACCCCAGTGCAGATAGGCAACAGCAACTCAGGGGGCCAGTACCTAGGCAGAGGGTTCCCCCAGGGTGCTGTACTATCCCCAACTCTTTTCAATATAATGCTAAGTGACCTACCAAGAACTCCTCAAGTAGAGGTCCTCTTGTATGCCAATGATATAACTTTGGCTGTTGTCTCTAGCTCTGTGGCGGCTGCTGAGGAGATGATGCAATCATATCTCAACAAGTGAGATATGATATGATATACGATATGGGCAAGTGGCTTGAGAAGTGGCAGTTCACCATCAACCCACTAAAGTGCTCACTCCAACTCTACGCTGAAATGTAACATACCTCCAGTCAGTGTGCTTGTTGCAAATCAACCAATTAGAAGTGTGCCTGTGCAAAGGGTTTTGGGTGTCCTTTTTGATGCCCCAAAACTTAAATTTCATTCACACATTTCTCATCTAAAGAATGAAATGCTCTGCAGACTGACACCATTTCAGGCACTCTCTGGCAGCAGCTGGGGTGCTGCCAGATGTTTGCTCAGGCAAGTATACATTAGCTTCATTCGCAGCAAACTTGAGTATGGCAGCATTCTATTCAAACTTAGTGACATTTCTACAAAATACACTCAGAAACTTGCAGTAATACAGTCCAGTGCACTTAGAATTATCCTTGGTGCTCGTAACACATCTCCCATTACATCACTTTAGATTGAAGCCTATATACCTCCCTTAGAGATCAGGTTTGACTACCTTTTCCTAAAATGGTACCTGAAAACCCTGCGCTGCCCTAAAAGCCATTCCAGACAAGAAATTTGCCATGAGACTGGTGTCTCTGTGTGCAACTTAGGCTCAAGCTTCTTCTCTACAAGAGGCAGAAGTCTCCTATCCGACTTGGCCATACCTAGCTTTAAAAGAATCCCAACACCCAAATTTCACCTGTTCTACCTTATTACAATTTTGAACCTCATATCCAACTCTTCACCCAAAGCACATGTAGCCATGACGCCCCTCCCTGGCATCAATAGGGGGATGTTCAAGGAGTGCTGCCATAACTCACCTTCCCATGTGCATGTGTATACAGATGGATCCAAACTCAGCAACGGTTCCACAGCTGCAGCTATGTATGCACCAAGTCTACAAGTCACCACAACATGAAAGTTGAGCCCAACACACACAGTCCTTGGTGCAGAGCTCTTTGCAATACTGAAGGCTCTGCAGATTTGTTGTCTGGACCCAAGACTAAGAATGCAGGACATCCTACTGTTGACCGACTCCCAGTCTGCCTTGCAAGCCATCAGAAACACCGTTAACCCCTCATACAAGGAGTACGTCTACAAAATCCAAGATGTTATACTAGATAGGCAATGGACTGCAATGGGTGAGAGGCCACTCAGGGGTGGAAGGCAATGAGATTGCAGACAGGCTGCTAACATGGGCCACCAAAATGTATTTTCTGCTATGAGCACCCTAAGCATAGAGGAGACACTTACTGTCCTGAGAGAGAAACTACACAAGTGCTGGACTAGGAAGTTAGGAACTGGAAAATGACTGTTGCTTGGACTCAGAAAAGAGCTTTTTTGATTAACAATATGATGGAACCGCAACTTTGCCCTTGGCTTTGCCTGAAGTCCCGCAAGCTAGAATGTGCACCTGCAAGAATTAGAATTGGGCATGCTGGTGTCAGGAGCTATCTGCACAGGTTTAAAATGAGTGATTCTGATCAGTGCACCACCTGCAACACAACAGACACAATTGCTCACTTTCTTCTGGACTGTCAGCGTCATGTGCTACCAAGTAACTTGTGAAGTATCAATGTAGAATTTAACCTTTGTAATCTCCTGGGAGGGGAGGTAACTTTAGTGATGAGGTATCACAGAAAATGTCTAAATTTTTCAATGTACTTATTTTAAAGTCAGGTAGGCTAAGTGATCTTTAGGTGAATGCCTTGCAATGATGTATATATGCAAGCATGATAGAATTGTTAATGGATGGCAACTGCTGATATATGTTTTGACTTAGCAAGTAGATCATCTGAGGTTTTTTTTTATATATCACTATAATTACGTATATATTTCTATTTCTTTTTTTTTTTAATCAAGGTTGTTACATTAGCAGCCCTTACTTATCTAAATTACATTAGCAGTAACTCATTTCATTTACTAATATATGTTCCCTGTAAACTTCTACCCAATCCTGTACTGAGCTTACATCAGCCAACCTCACAAGATGGCAGCAATTAATTTCATATACAAAGAAGCTGAAAACCACAAGCTATAAGCTCTCAGGCCCAACAGTCATCCATCTGGCAGACCTGCGGCTTTAAGTCCACTCCAAGTGGACACCCTGCAAAGAAGAAGAAGAAGACAAACCACAGATTTTTTTAGAATCAGTTCATTTTTAATTGCCTCATCTAGGGTACTCAAAATTTAAACCAATTTCTTGTGTATGATAATGCTGGTATCCATGATACTGGTATCCTACTATTTATAGTAGGACTCAAAAATGAACTTGAGGAAGAATCTAAAAACATCCTGCTTTAACTGTACCATGCAATGGATGATGATCTAGAATTGACTGGTACTCTTGTTTCTCGGGTAAGTTTCATGTTAACAAATTTTAGTCATACATTTGTTTGCAAAATACTGACATTGAAAAATCACTTAATTTTTGTTTAGATTTCTTTTCAGGTGCTTCAAAGTAGGAAAATTCTAAACTGCTGTACCCAATTCATTTATTTGTATGCATAACAGCACAAGCATCAACTTGATAGCTACCTAAGCAAAACTAAGCAATATAATAGAACTTTTCTAGCAACAGAAAAAGTACAATAGTTACAGGCAAGAACTATATGATGCACACTCGCATTGCACAATACTACTGTCAATTTGTCAAATGGGGTAATAAGGGATGGGCAGGATAGTAAAGGTCCACTAAAGGACAGTCCTCCCACAGTCCCACATTTTGTTGAAATTTTGTAGCAGCTAAACTAATTGAAATATTCTAAAACTAAAAATAGTAGCGTAAAATTCAACATTTTCCCTATCTGTGTAGCATAAAGCAAATTAAGAAATCATACATTTACTGTCAAATGACAAACGGGGTAATAAGGGACGGGTGGGGTTATCAGAGACAGTCCTGACATTTCGTAGAAATGTTGTAGCAGCTAAACTAAATTTAACTAATTCAAATATTGCAAAACAAAAAATAGTGGCATAAAGTTCAACATTTTTCCAATCTACCTATGTAGCAAGTTAAGTGAACATTTACTACCTCTAAATAATCCTTGAAAAAAGTGTGAAAAGTGAGATTTTGGAAAAGTACCTCTGATAAGGTCTGTAGCGAAAAAAATATTTACCATATTAAAAAATTGTACTTATATTAAAGTTGCACACTGGTGTTGGCTTAAAAATTTTATTGATGGAATTAGCGTATCTCATTCCAGAAAAAAATGGCGGCCATTTCCACTTAACAGGGTAATAAGGGACACGGTGACACCCCCACCCTGGGGTAATAAGGGACACCCCTAAAAAAGCATTTACAGTAGAGTCTTGGTTAGCAAAGGCTCCAGTTGACAAAAAAAAATCAATTAACAACAAACAATTTTACATTGCACAGCACCGCAATTACATTGCACAGCAAAAAAATTTCACTTGACAAAAAATTAGTGCATCATCAGTCATCACCAAACTGTGTGTGCATAGAATGTCATGGATAGAGTTGTTCACTGGGCAACATAGAATGAAAAGTAATTAACCTAAACTATGATTTTTTTTCTCAAAAAATATGATGGTTGTCACTAAAATATTCCTTTGTGTTTCAGGTATGTTTTTTACAATCTTCTTTTTTGTTACAGTTTCACTTGATTCAATTAAAATGGTGCAAAATTACAACCGTCCTGTAAGCTTGCCTACAGAAGAAATGCTACATGGCTGTTGATATGAAGCTTGCAGTGGGCAAGGTTTTTGTCAATGCTCAATGCCATGTCCATGGATTAGGTAATATCACATCAAAAACATGGTAATGTATCAATAAGGTAATATTATATCAATAAAGGAAAAACCAGTAAAAATCACAGAAAATGTCATTTATATTGTCTACAAAGGAAGATAAGGACTTCAGAGTATTGTTAGTAATGGATGAGCACACTCTGCATGCTTCAAATATTTTAAAATAGAGTTTTATTTCAAATGTCCCTAATTACCCCCTTCCCAGGGTTGGTTCAGGAGGCTTTTATTTTCCATCTGGCATCTTACAAATAGCATATGGAATTTTTTCAGAGATGCCATACAATAGCCCTTGCAAATACCTTTAAAATGAGCCCAAACTTGTTTATGAAATGTTTCATGGTAAGAAGTTATTAAGGGAAAATGCTCAAAACCATCCCTTATTACCCTGTTTGATAGTACCTCTAAAAATTCCCAGAAAAAAGTGTGATAATTGAGAGAAAATGTATATCTGCTAAGGTCTGTAGCAAAAAAAAAAATTTACTGTATTTAAAACTTTTACTTTCATTAAATTTACATACAGGTGTTGGCTTAAAAACATGATTGATAGAATTTGCATAGCTCATTCCCCCAAAAAAATGGTGGACATTTCTGGACAATGGGGTAATAAGGAACACACCCCCTATGGTAATAAGGGACGCCCCTGAAAACCAATTTACAGAACTACAGTAAAACCTTGATTAGCAAAGACTCAAGTTAATTTAATTAACAAATTGGTGAAAAACAAAGAATTTTGATTGCATTTACCTCATTCAGCAATCACTCAACAGTCAACAAAAAATTAATGCATCATCAGTCATCACAAAATTGTGCATAGAATGTCATAGATAGAATAGAGCATCAAGCAACATAGAATGGAAAGTAATTGACCTAAACTATGATTTATTTATCCAAAAATATTATGGTTGTCACTAATACATTCCTTTCTGTTTCAAGTATGTTTTTACAATCTTTTTTGTTATAGGTAGCGAATTTGGTTGACTCAGTTGAAATGGTGCAAAATTACAAGCCGTTCTGTAAGCTTACAGATACAGAAGAAATGCTATATGGCTGCTGATATGAAGCTTGCAGTGAACAAGGTTGATGTCAATGCTCAACGTCATGTCCATGGGTACAGTAATATCACATCAATAATTTGGTAATGTATGGATAAGGTAATATTATATCAGTAAAGGAAAAACAAGTAATAATCATGAGTAAAAGGCCATTTATCCTACATCTACATCATCTACAATGAAAGAGGAGGACTTCAGAGTACTGTTAGTAATGGATGAGTACACTCTGCAATCTGCATGCTTCAAACGTTTTGAAATTAAATTTTATTTCAAGTGTCCCTTATTACCCCATTTCCAGAGGTAATTTGAGAGCCTTTTAATTTGCATCTGGCACCTTGCAAATAGCATATGGAATTTTTCAAGATGCCATACAATAGCCCTTGCAGAGACCTTTAAGGGGGAGGTATACTTTTTGAAAAACTTTTTTGTTTACGGACAGATCTTTCTGAAACGTCACACATATATGTAAAACCACAAAAAAATCACATTTTGTTCATGTGATTTTTTTGGAAAAATTGATAGAAAACGTGAAATTCATAGAAAACTGACAAAAAAGGGGGCACTGTAGAAATCTATCTCCTAGGGTTTTCAAGCTACAACATAGAAACACATATCAATTGATGCGTAAAGACCATACCAATCGAGTAATGAAGCCTGATTCTTTATTTTTGCATTAGTTTATTTTACACGCATTTTTCCATTTTTTTCACATTTCCCCCCCCCCCTTCCCCCTCATTTAGAATCCAAACTATGCACAAATCTAAAAAAGGGCTTCGTTACTCGATAGGTATGGTCTTTATGAATCGAATGGTATATGTCTCATCGCTGTAGCTTCAAAACTCTAGGAGGAGATAGGTTTTCCGTGACAATAAGTTGAACTTTTCAGGACAGCGCGACAAAGTCCCGTGCGCCTCAAAAATCAAAATAGGCACTCAATGTAGCATGGATACCAAACTACAGGCTTCTGTAGCTTCCTTCAACTGAAGGATGGTAGCCGCAACTTGCAGTACACCTCTCTGTACGAAGCAAGGAGGGTGACTGAGCCTTGATGCCACAAAACACCATATATCTAGTGTTGGCCAGCGAATTTCCTCCCATCTAATTACTGAAGGAACTCCCCCCCACCCCCCTTTAAAGAGCAGCCGTGTATGTACAAATTCACGTACAGGGATTGCAGTGGTATTGTTGGATAGCTCAGAATGTCAGCTTTGAAATGAGACTAAACAAGTAACTAAAAACTATATTTAAAATGTAACACTATAGTATAACACTAGAGTAACACTATATTTAAAATGCTCAGCAGCTAATTACCTTGTATCTAATTAGTGAAGGAACTCCCCCACGCCCCACCTGCCCCCCTTTAAAGAGCCGTGATGTACGTATAAATTCACATACAGGGATTGCAGTGGTATCGTTGGATAGGGCAGAATGTCAGCTTTAAGATGATACTTAATACTAGAAAAGCCAAATCCGAAAAAAGTATACCTCCCCCTTAAAATGAGCTCAAACTTGTTTATGAAATGTTTCATGGTAAGAAGTTATTCATGAAAAACGCTCAAAACCGTCCCTTATAACCCCCTTTGACAGTAATTTACTTCAGAATGAGGATTAGATTGAAGCCCTGCTGTCCTGTAACTGCAAGTAACTTTACACTAGACCTGGCCTACTCTTAAATGCCAAAGTGTAATATTATATAAATGAGCTTACCTCTCCAAAGTTCCCTTCTGTGCATGATGCTAAAATTAAATCATTCCCATTCTTGGAAAGATATGCATCTTCATGAACTTGGTAGAATTTTCAAGCTCAATGATCATAATTTTATTTATTTTACCATCGATTCCATCATTCCAGTGCAAGCTGAAATTTGACAGCTATATTCCAAATGAGTTCCAACTTTCCTCATTGCAAGCCTTCGTAGCCTATAGCAACTATCTATTTTATAAACAATACTGAACTACACCTTTCCTGTGCATTCAATTGGACATTAATCATAAATTTATTACTGTTAATCAAAGTTTGGCTTTTTGATCATAGTATGCTAGAAAACGGGGTGACTTGGAACTATTGATGGGGTGACTTGGACCATTTTTAGTGTTTACCTTCTTGTGACACAAATAGTCACATAATAAAAATGAAAAATGCATTTCTAGGTTACCTCATGGTACTTCAAGAGCCATCAATACAATTTTTATAAGGCAAGAACTTGTTAAGTATAGGGTTTTCTTTTCTTAAATGTCAAAATGGTTCAATCACCATGTAAACAGTCCAAGTCACCCTCTTTATGGTATTAGATATTCACATTGACATCAATACATTTTCAGCAAGGGGGCTATGATTACGAGTTTGTGGATCCATTGGATCCTAAGTACGAGTGCGGAATTTGTCTGCTGGCACTAAGACTTCCACACCAAACTGTTTGTGGACACAGATTTTGCAGAGACTGTATTGCAACTTGTTTGAGGTAAGAATAATATTTATAGGGGAACTGTGCTATGTCTCTGTCCAAATGATACTCTTTATGACAGTAATGACAGTAATTAAACTTGCCAAATCCAGTGCCTTGGTGGCAGTGTGATGAACCAAGCTAAGATTGCTTGAGACTAACAATGTCAACAAGTTAAAGTCTTTAACCTTGAGGTGAAAGATGATATTAATGACTTCACAATTATTTTATTTTAAACAATGAGACAAATTTTCCTACCATAAAACAAATTTTTGTTTATTTAGTGTGATTAACGATAGGAACTGTCTTACAATGAATATGTTGAAAATTGTTATGTTGAATAATCCATCTTGGACACACTGCAATGATGTATTATTATCAAATATCAATGACACATTGGTCACCATTCACCTTGGCACTTCATTTACCTTCCTTGTATACAAAATGAATTAATGTCAGAAATACAATTTTGGCCAGTTGGAATGCTACAAACAGCTTATTGACTTCTTCAAATTTTTGCAAACAGGTTCATGTTCAAGTTGAAGTTTCAACTCCATAAAGAAGTTCTGTTGGAGCGATGAAATTTTAATACAGATGCCCCACATAGTCATGGATCACTGACATTACTCACTACAAAGGTTGTCAACATCTAATTTTTTCAAAGGTCAAAATATTTTTCAAGAAATTTTTATCTATTTCTAAACTTCTATTATAGTAGAAGTCCATTCATATTATTAAGTGAATTTGTATAGTTCTATAATTGTGCATAATAAATTTTTTGGTAATGTGCAGTACACGAGGTGTGTGTCCCTTAGACAACCGTGAGTTGGGAGTTGGTGATGTCTTCCCAGATGCTTGCATTGAGCGTGAGGTGCTGGAGCTGCTAGTACGTTGTCCAGGTCACAGTCATGGATGCCAGAGAGTTATTTCTCTGCGCAACCTACAGCCACACATTCAAGCCTGCAATTACCAGGTATACATTTTTGAAGTGTAGTCCAAAATTTTATTTGAAGATTTTATTTTCTGATGAACTTCAATGTACTCATTTCTGGCCTATCCTCTTCAAAAGTGCCTTACATTAAATGATACTTGAGTTCTATTCAAATTGAACCTTAATACATTCAATTCTGTGGAACTTCTTGTTTGTGTGTAGAGTATTATTTTTCAAATTAGAGAATTTCTGTTCAAACTATACTGAAAACCCACTCTAAAGCTAATAAATGATAAGCATTTTTTTAGGTATGCATTTCAGCACACTTTGACAGTGACAAAGATACACGTGACAAGGCTTTCATTTTCAGGCATCAATTATATATAAATCATATACTTTTTCATATATATTTGCATGTTAGGCTCAGTGTCAAAGTTGACATTTTATGAGAGACTTTATATAATTTGTTTACTTGTAATGTTTTGTGCAGGTAGTGCTGTGCCCTAACCAGTGCGCCAGCACAGTGCTGTGTGGGGAGCTGCAGCAACATCTGCAGGAGACTTGTGCTCTAAGGCCCACTCAGTGCTCCCTCTGCAAAGCAGTCTATACGCTTGACAAAGAACAGGTGTGGTAACCTACTATCTGCATTAAATTTTTCCCACATCACCTTAATTTATATGCTACACTTGATTTGAGAAAAATATTTAAGCTGTAGCGTGAATATGTAAAAAGTTTTGTCTTTGAAAATGCTAAATAATGTTTATCTTTTGCATACAATACATATATAGGATACTACAGAACAGTGCACACTGCAAAGGTAAACAAATTCCACTAAGACTTAAGTTATACAGTTATACTGGGATTGAGAAAGAAGCCATAAGTAAACTGTAAAATTCATAACCTAGAAAAGCTTGAGCAAATGGTTTGATGTTAAACATTCTTAGCAAATGGTTTGATGTTGAACATTCTTTCTCTTATGTATCTGAAATACGAACCAAATTATTGCAAAAATGTAGACATCAGTTACACTCTTGGTGCAATTGCAAACGCTACATTCTCCTTTTTTAACGCAAACGTTGATAATAGTTGGACTGATAGCTTGATCATTCATTTGCTGCTAACAAAACACTGCTGGTATAATTCTTCACTTTCAAATATGAAATAGGAACAGAAATGAAATCAAATGCTCTCCCTACTCTGACCCTTGAAAAAAAATTACTATATGTTGCATTTGTGCTTTAATCAAGGGCTTTGTTGTCAGGTGCACCGGTCCGTGTGCGGCGATGTGAGTTGCGGTGTGACGCATATGAAATAGGAACAAAGATGAAATCAAACGCTCTCCCTACTCTGACCCCCGAACAAAATATTACCATATATTGCATTTGTGCTTTAATCAAGGGCTTTGTTGTCAGGTGCACCGGTCCGTGTGCGGCGATGTGAGTGTGCGGTGTGACGCATGCGGCGAAGAAGTGCGCCGTGCAGACCTTGCCGCTCATCTCACCTCGAGCTGCCCTCACACGACCGTGCCTTGCACCTATGCTGAGTTTGCTTGTCAATACAAATGTAAAAGAATGTTACTGGAACAACACCTCAAAACGGATGTACAGCTTCATCTCCAGGTAACTAACAATTACAGTGTTTGAACGGATGACATTGTTGACTTTGATCGATTTGAATTGGAAATTGGGGTGTCAAAGAGTTCTTCATTCCAAAAAATTCTGTAATGGTTTCTTGTGTGTCATGATAGTCTACATAGATCATTCGTTCTTGGTTTTATATCTTCAACAGTGAACTCTAACATTAAAAAATATGCCTCTTTTTGCGAGGCATGAAACCACAAATCATTTTCAATGATTTGAGCCAGTATATATGTCAGCACAATCATTTGCATTACAGTTGGTGTCATCAGCTTATAAGAAGATGAGCACGTTTGTGAGTGAACTGAGTCGCACTGTCGGCGTCATCCAGTCTCCAAGCTTCAGTCGCCAGCCGAGCCTGAGGAGCCAAGTTTCAACCTCCTCGCCTATCCAGGAAGAGCCAGAGCACGGCTTGGAGAAGACTTATGGTGACGCTGCTGCCTATGACAACAATAAGAAGTATGTTAAAATGGAGCAAGTGGAAGAGGCCCAGTCAGACTGTGAGTGGCCGCCAGTTGAGGGAGCTCAAGCCCTTCCAGACGAGGTTAAGATCAAGAGTAAGCTAGACAATAAGAAGAGGGAAGCTATATCGGCAGAGGCTCAGAGACATCAACTCCATCTGAGTAACCTGAACTCCGGTCTTGGTTCATCCAGTAAAGTTTCATCCAATGAAAAAATCTTGCGTGCAATCAGTGACAAGGTTGTGGATTTAGACCAAAGAATGCTAGAGGAGACGATACGTCTTGATAACCTGGCAAAGCAGATGGACGGTTTAGAGGAGTTGTGGAATAGAAAGTATTTGGCTCTCAGTGGCCGGTTTTGTGGCGGTGACTTCACGTGGCGTGTTCATAACTTCTCTGGTCTTTGCGCAGAACTTGAGAATAAGAATCTCTCATCTTACAGTCCACCCTTCTATACGTCGCAGTTTGGGTACAAATGCTGTATTAGGCTTGGCATCAAATGTATCAACGGCCAACAGCACTTATCTTTATGCATTCTCTTCATGAAAGGCGAGTATGACGACATACTGGAATGGCCTTTCCGCGGCCGCATCACCCTTGGCTTATTGGACTGCTCTGCAAACAACAAAAAGAGGCATTTCTTTGAGTGCCTTGATAGCAGTCCTCATCTGCAAGCATTCCAACGGCCGACTGGCGTCAGGAACGATAAAAGCTTCGGCTTTACCGAGTTTTGTTCGTTTGAAGATCTGTACAACAGGAAGCCCCATGGCGCGTGTTACGTTGTGAACAACACCTTGACCGTTCGCGTGATGGTGGTGCCTTGCCCGGGCGCTGCGGTAGCCATCTCACCAAAACACGAATCTGGCGGAATCAACGACTGAATTGTAGCGGTACACTTGGTGCTTTTGAGCAGCGAGAATGCTTTAATGCGAGAATTATATATTTAGCACTTAGAATGATCCGCGGGAAATCTTTTCATGATTGTAAAAAATAACTGAAATACTTCGTTAACAAAAATGCGATATAAAAAAACTAAAATTTAACTGAAGAACTAACTTTCGAGTTAAAAATCACTCGAGAAAATCCTTCATAATTTGTTAAGCGTCTTGGATTGTGAAATTTCCTACTTAGTCGATCTCGCAACCATTTTTACTTATAGTGACTTGGTGTCTCAATTCTTACTTGTACATTTTCTTCAGTTTCCCTCCTTCCTGAAAACGTTTACAAGAGTCTAGCTTCTCATGATTATTTAACAATGAATGCTCCTTTAAATGTTGATCATTTTAATTCTCTCGAGTAATGCAATCTTTAGAAGGCGCGAGTGAGCGGAAATAATTATTTTGAAGAAATTGTTTATCGTGTTGGTGAGATTATTGTATTTGTTGAAAACTGTTCTCAAAAGCCAGGATATTAATGTGCCCATTTTGGAAAATAATAACTCGAATTTGATCTTCCTCAGCGAACTATCAAACATAATACTAAAAAATTTCCATGTTTTAGAAGATATTTCGGAAGGAGGGTAAAAATTTGTGTACGAGAATACGTCCTACTTCGCCATTAAGCAACGCAAAGCCCGCTACCCTGAGCGAGTTTCGCACGTAATGAATCTAAACGTAATGTTAGGTAAGTAAACTTTGACTAATATATCTCGCACCTCACCCTCACCCCTTTTTTCATATATACTATATATACCTATATATTAGTCATTTGACTGACGAAAATTATTGACCTGTTCCTGTTTCTAAATTTTAAGAATAAGTAATGACAATATTGTTCGTTATGTTTTTTTTATGAAAAACTCAGTTTTTGTACTCACTAGACATATATATATATAATATTGCTGTTACAGGCAAGTAAAATAGTAGAGGTACAGGCAACATGGCCGACCTATGCTGGTCTGTAATGATGTGTTTGCAATACGTGTACAGCGCAAGGTTAGTTTTAATTTACGTATCGTACTCGAGATATTTCTCAGTATTAGATCATCACTACGATTGTGCCTTCAACATTCCATCCAGCATTCCGAAAAGACTAATGCTTTCATATTTATAATACTATATGGTCTTGTTTTACAACGCACTCGATATAATATATTTTGAGCTGAAAAATGAACTATCTTTATCCTGCGCTTTTCCAAATGAGTGATGCAACCATGGACATAGCGGTATCCGAGGTGTGGTAATTGATGTTAATTCCTTCTACTCACCAGCTTCATTGATCAGTCGTCAATGTATCAGTCATCAAGGCCCTATAAAAAAACCAAAACATGACGGCGTCTCCAAAAGATTCATTGATGAAAATCATACTCAATGTCTGCAAAAAATTGGATCGATGAATGGGGATCAATAGTCGCGCCAGATGTTAACCTGTATTTTTATTGAAAGGAAGACTTAAATTTGGATGTAACAGCTAGATAATTTAACTAAATACATGTATGGTTTTTTTCAAGGTGACTAGCATATATCCATTTATAATTAAGGATATTTTGAGACGCAGAAAGATGACATATAAATAAGAAAAGAAGTTTCTAATAGAAAAATTAGACAAATGAACAACAATTATACACAGGATATTCCTCAAAAAAACAGGATGAAAAACAGGATATTCCTCAAATTTATTCCTAAATACAACAACCTCTTTCCAGAATGGCCAACAACCTTTTGTGGCAGGCGGGTTATCTTAACAGTGTGTCTCTTGATAAATATTGAATACCCAACCCTGCTATGCTGCAAGTCAGAAGCCTCAATATTACATTATGATACAAGCCGGTTCCAGTACAACAGGCTTGAAAAAAATTTCCAGGGCGAAGTCTCTTGATGACAAAAAAAAATAGATACTAAGTGACGTCTGGGGATCACAAGTAGACCATGGCTGGTATACACGATGCAATTACAGTAGCCAAATTCCAGTAAACCAAGTCGTTCTGATGATGCAGTAACAACGCACTAATTTTAATAAATGTATTGTTAAATTAGCTAATAATACACAAACAGACATGAACTTTTGCAATTAATTAGTGGGTTTCGATCCGTTCAAAGAAATAGAAAGATAATTTATACTCACGACCATAATTTTCTATTAATAATGAAAATCACTTGGACGAGGACATTGGTATTGGAGTACCGTTATGTGGTTAAGGTTTTCATTGTTATTAAACAATGTAAGCTTCACTTTACAAATTGACAACCTAGTTGATGGTAAGCAACCAGCAATGAATGTGCTTAAAAACACGAAGAAATAATATAACTGAATGCATCGATTTGTATTATTTTGAATGCAACTTGACAATCATGAATCCAATTCGAATATGATGAAGCTTTGAAAATCTCTCCTAAAATTGACATAAATGTTGTCTAATTTGTCAAGTAAGGAAATGGTTGAAATCAATTATTCACAGCCTTCAAACTTACAATGAATAATGATGAGACAAAGATTCAATTTTATCAGGACGTTACTAATTCAAATTTCTAAACTACCAATGCTTACTGCAAAGTTAGGCAATGTCAGGTACAATCGATCCGATTTCATTAAGATTAATCAAATTTTTATTACCAATAGTTAATTAAAGTACAACACCAAAGGACTAGATCTAACGTCCTGAGAAGCATCGGAAAACAATTACGCTCAGTAAATCAATGCAAGGGGTTAGGAGAATATTCACTGTTATCGACTAATACCCTGATTACTGGAGACAGATTTCTAATTGTAGTGTTTCTAATTGTAGTATTTGTAACATATAAATGAGAAGGTAAAAGAAATTCATAAGTAGGCTAACTAGTTACTGTTTTTATGAATATTGTTCATAAGTAATGAAAACGGAAAATTTTGAAAAGACTCCAGTACAACCATTTGGTGTCACGGATGCAGCTCGAAAATGAACACTCAAAATAACTGCAAACAATTTCAATATCCTGACAATGCAGCAATTAGTAAATTGATACCTGGAGTCTTGTATATTATTCAAGGAAAGAGTTTAGCTAAATTTCTAACCGCTCTCACCGCGTATGGGGTATAGCAAAATAATGCTACTACAAGCTAGCTCCCTAACTACACATTGTGTCCCAAGTACACATAGCGGCCCATCTCTCGTAGGTTTAGCTTGATAAGCAATCGCTGATAGAATGACAGAGTTACAAAATCGTAACTATTATTCATATTAAGGCTCCCACGGCCGCCAGAGCGATGGTCCTGCTGTGAGCCTCTCTCATGTAGTTCATAGACCCTCTGGGCAGGAGGTGGCAAGTGAGAAGGCATTTTAGGATGGGTGTGACTCCAACATTGTTATAGGATTTTGGAGGCGTATACAACCACTTTACAGCAGGAACATTTGCCACTAACATTTGTTTATGGGAAGAACATAGATTTACAGTGTTTTTTGATGAATTAATATGTTAAGAATTTAATAATTTCATATTTAAATTAAATAAATATCTGGGTATTTATCATTGTGTTTGAAGTATTATTTTGTTTTATAGACTAAATAAACAGTGCATCTACCTTGTTACCATTGTTCATTCAATATTTGTGATAAATGTTTGTGACATTTCCATTACATTCCAGTTTATTGTTGACACATAATATAATTTTAAATTTCAGTATTGAGAATCATTTTTTCAATCTAATATTGACCAAATTTTGTTCAAAGTTTGGGTTTCATGAATTTGTAAACAATCTGAAAAAATTGGTAATAACCCTGAATCTCTTTCAAGTCTTAAACAAAAGTATGTTTTATTGTCTACATTTTAAGGAATACTAGTTTCAAGAAATTTCATTCTGTAACAAAACTTCTACAAGTTGAGCAATATATAATAACAGTACCTTAAATGCCAATCTCAATGAAAAAGGCGTGGCAAAGGGGGCATGTACAAAGGACATGTTAAATGGGCCTTGAGACAAATCAAAATAATTGAATTTTATAATATAAAGTCTTCTTTGATAAACAAAAAGGTACCCAGATACATTTATATAAATGTGTCAATAGAGCCTTTATAATAATTACTGTCGAAATGTTGCCAGAGCTAGTACTCAATAAAGCAAGAGGTCAACAAATTTCCAAACCAAAATAGTGGGATGGCAGCCAATGTTGTAGGGCCCAGAGGATAAACTTTGGATGGCCCACAGAACAGCACAAACTATCCAGTCTTTTAGCATAATGACTAGAACTTGCAGTAGACAAGAGGTGCAGCATGTAATTCATTGGTAAATTCAATGACGAACTTCGAAAGATTTCAGAGTACATTCATTAATTTCAGTGAGGTTTGTAAACTTGACAGAGGAGATTCTGGAGTGTGGGCTGCCTGTGTGCTGGAGCCATTTTTGCCTGCAAAAAAAAGTGATGCAGTATTAAACTGGCATTTTAGCAGCAGCAGAGAAAATATACAACATAAAATTAATTTACTATAAGACCAGTAGGTTGATGAAATATTAATGTAATAACACTTTCATATAACCTAAAGTGATTTTGTTTGAACAATAAATAAGATTTTAAAAACTCATGTCACCAAGAATACCTAGCAACAAATTTAACACAGAATCAAATTTGATATGTTCCAAATTTTAAGCGAGTTGATAGTCCTACTGCACATATGTGCATTGACATGTGACTAATTCTAGAGGCTTACATTTGTTGAACATCAGACGAGGGACCTTGCAGATGCCCCTGCACAGTCCCATCATCTGTGTTGCGGCACCAGCCAACCAGCTTCAGCTCCCGAGCTGCTTTTTGAGTGTACTGCAACATAACATATCTTTATTGGTCTTTATTGTGTACATAATTTTCAAATGTAGCAATTTTATACATACAAATAATGAGCACTATTTTCTTTAATTAAAGGGAATAACTTGACATACCGTACCTATTATAGGCTATATATATATACATATAGCCAAATTATACATATATGTATAATCTGGGCATTGAATTGGATTGTAATTATACACATGAAATCATTGTTGTTGTTTTTAAACTTGTTAGCAAGTTTTTTAATGGGAATATAAGATGGCAATGAGCCTCTTAAATGGCAGATTCAAGGTCCACTTTTAGGGTAACTTTGATGGAGTTCAAAATTATAGTAACTTTTTTTCCTATACTCCTTTGAGATTGATATGATGATTGTTTCATTCTATTTTAATATTTAAAACAGCCTGAACTTGATACATGATTATGGTTCAACATAACATAGCAGCTTTAGCACTTATTAGACCATAGGCCTGTTGCCAATTCTTAACATTGCAGAACATTCACCACTTTTTGCAGTCTGGAACTCACAACTCACTTCTCCAATTTTTGCTTTGCTTAACCACCCGGCCTCCTTGCCAATTCTAACCAGAAACTGGTGCCCTGAGTGGGGTTCAAACCTGCACCTCTCTGCTTCAATCTTTGTACTCTGAACTTCAACCACTGGCCCCTAAATATTAAGTGGAATTCACTTAATATCCCCCCCCCCCGATCTCTGCCGCGTCTGCGTCGTGGGGGTACCCTGGCCTGCGCGTCGGCCGGATGCCCGGCTTACTCGTGGACCAGGCCAAACGGCAGAGGCCCCCCCCCGCCCGGATCGCTTCCGGACGGAGGCTCCATCATTTTTTCCCCTAAGGGCAGGGGAACCTCGGCCTCCCCTTCCCCCTACCCACATCTTTGGCCGCCTATCTTTCCTGGGACATCTTATGCCCTTCTCTCCTCCCATCTTTTCTTCCTATTCGTCCTTCTTCTCCTTACCCAGGGTATCCATCCCAACCCTGGCCAAGACCCCTGCTCAGTCTGCTCCCTCCCGGTTACACGGCAGTGCTACTCGTTTCGGTGCTCCATGTGCAACGCCTGGTGCCACAAGCGGTGCTCCGGCCTTCGCTCCATTCACCACTACTCAGCGGACTGGATCTGCCCTACGTGCAGGCGGCCTGACCCGAGCCCACCCAGACCCCCTCCCACCTCGCCCCAACGGCCTCCCCCCGTGCTTGCCTCCACTCGCCTCCGCGTCCTCCAGTTTAACTGCAATGGGATCCAATCCAGCGCAGTCGAACTGACTGCCTTCCTCGCACAGCACGATGTTGCGATTGCCTGCATCCAGGAGACTAAGCTATCAGCGACCTCCAGCCCCCCCTC